CTTGCTCTCCCGTCCCCGGGCTTTTATTCTGTCCTCTCCTCCCCTTCCCCCCCCCCCCCCCCCCCCCCCCCCCCCCCCCCCCCCTCGCAGCCGCACGACCACAGCGTCAGTCGCTACTGTCTGCTTGTTTCTTGGCCCTCTCTTTCCTCCTCTTTTCTTCCTCATCTACGAATCCCTCCCGAGCACTATTTGTGAGGGGCCGGGGGCGGGGGCTGTCTATTGCGGCTTTCGTGTGCCGAAGTCGCCCGAGTGGCTGGCCAAAAGCTCCTGCCCGGGAAGACGGGACCCGAGGCCGGAGAGGCGAGAAGGTGGCAACGGGGAGCCCAAAGAAGCTCGACCTTTTGATCGGGCTGGCCTGGAAGGGGGCAGCCAAGGAGTTCCTGGATGCGAGTCGATTGATCGTCCCCGGGGAGGGGCATCCGGCAGAGAAGCCCGCCGTTCCCAGGCAAGGGTGAACGTGTGAATGGGGACTCCCCCGCGCGAAAGAAGCGCCGGCACATCATTTTTTTATTTTCCGCAAGGTTGCACGTGAATGCCGGATGGTCTTGACCAGCGTCCCTCCCCCCCCCCTTATGGGTCCATGTGTTGGCTGTGGTCGTTGGAGGTGGCCATGTATTTCCTGACATTTCCACTTTCTCCCCCAAGGTCCCTGGCCCAAGGGCATCTGCCCCCCTGTTGCCCCCCCCCCGCCCCTGCCTGCCGATCTTCTGCCTCGGGGCCTGGCTTCGATGGGGAGGGGGGGGGGGGGGGGATATTTATCGGGCTCCTCCCCGCATGCAGTCTGCATCCAGCTGGGCCATCTATGCTCCCTCCTGCCATTCCCCCTCCTCCTGCTGTGTGTTCACATCACACTCTGATCCATGTCCAAGGACGCCGCCGTGTCGATGGGCGCCGCCCTCCCCCAGCCCAAGGCCTCCCGCCGGAAGGCCCCTCGCACGCCCTCCGAGGTCTTCCTGCTGGTGCCCAATTTGATCGGCTATGCGCGTGTGGTTTTCGCCCTGGCGGCCTTTGCCACCCCGACTACTCGCCCGGTCCAGGCAGTTTCCTTCTATGTTCTGTCCACCATGCTGGACGCCTTTGACGGTGTGGCCGCGCGGATGCTCGGCCAGAGCAGCCGCTTCGGCGCGGCCCTCGACATGGTCACCGATCGCTGCACCACTGCCTGCCTGCTGATGTCTCTCGGCAAGATGTTCCCCTCGTGGATGCTGGCCTTCCAGTGCCTGCTCAGTCTGGATGTCGCCAGCCACTATATCCACATGTATGCGTACGTACTGAGATCTCCATCGGCTGGCTGCTGGGCCTTCTCCTTGAACCCTTCGGATTTCCGAGGACAAACGCTCACCGCTAACCTTCCACACACACACACACACACACACACACACACACACACACACATCTCTTGTTCCAATGTAGTTCCACTTTGAGCGGCTCTCAGTCGCACAAGGATCTGGATACCAACCGCAACTGGTTCCTTCGTCTGTATTACACCTCACGGGTGCGTCCTTGTGCTTTGCCCCTCCTTCGATGCACTCGCCGGCCGGCCGTCCACAGCCCGTCTGCTGACCATGAGCTTCCTGTCCCATCGACGGCGCACCCCTCCCATCCCTGCTCTGGCTCCTCAGGTCATGCTCTTCTGCATGTGCTTCGGTAATGAGCTCTTCTTCCTCGCCTGCTTTGTTTACTACTACACGTCCGGCTTCAGTGGTGCGCATGATATGAGGGCTGCCCTCTCATCTCACGGCTTCGTCTCTCGGCTCTCGACATCCTTCTCACACATGAGCTTTCCCCATTATGCCCCCCCCCCCCTCCCGCGCGGCACAGTCTTTGGCTTGGTCAACTTCGTGCCGCTTGTCATGGCCATCTCCTTCCCGGTGATGGCCATCAAGCAGGTTCTCAACGTCATTCAGCTTGCTGGCGCATCCATCAACATCGCTAAGCAGGGTATGTGGACATCCGACTCCTTCTCCTTCCCCCCCCCCCTCTGCATTGCAACTTATCCATCACTCCCCATCTGACACACACACACACACACACACACACCTATGTATTTTGTATATTCCTCTCTATCCTTCAAACATCCCCCGCTCCTCCGCCCCCGCTGTAGACATCCTTGATGCTCAGTCCCGCGATCAGTGAAATACCTTCCCTTTTCGCCCCCCCCCCCCCTCTCCCCTGACCTTGTGAAGCGAAATATATCTCATTTATGACTGGAAACAGAAGAGGGGGAGGTGGCAGACGAGTAGTCCCTCCAAGGCGGGGCCCTCTGGTCGGAGTTGCCGGCACAAATACGGGCGTGTGTGTGTGTGGATGTGCACACTCGCTGACAACTCCCCTGCGGTCATCCTCAGCCGGCGGGGAGCCGAGAAAAAGTTTCAGGGAGAGATCGCAAGGCGGAGATCACGTGCACTCGTCACACATTTCCGCCATTGCCGCCACCGGGAACTGAAATCTGACCCCCTCGCAGGAAAGAGGGCAACGCACACGACGAGGGAAAGTGTGGTTGAAGTCCCCCCCCCCCCCCAGCCCACGCACGCCCCAGCCGGCTGCATCCCAGTTCCAGACGGCATGGGAGTAACAGACCCCAGAGGAAGATGAGGCTGTTCGGGAATAGTGCGCCAGAACATCGGGCAGGAGCCGGACCCAGCCCTGCGTCGTGGGTCTGCTCACCAAGATGCGAATAGACTTGCAGGTGGGCGGAGGGGGGGGGGGACGGCGCTCGGACGGAGGTGGGCCGGAGGTGGGCCGGAGGTGGGGCGGAGGCGGGGCGGAGGTAGGGCGGAGGTAGGGCACAGGGGGGGTGAGAGGGTGGGGGTGAGCATCCCAGTCACTGGGAGGTCCTCCGGCCCAGCGTGTGCCCAGGCGCGGGGAACGCGCGTGCTGGCCCCCTTCTGTGTGCCAACGAAGTACCCCATTTCATGAGGACCCGCCAGGAGGGGCGCAGGGTACTCGGGTCACAGCGCAACTTCACACACTCTTCTCCCCCCCCCCCCCTCCTGCCCTCGCCTTCGCCCTCGTCCCCGCCCTTCTCCATCCCTCTCTTGACCCGTATTGGCATTCGCCGCGCGTGCGTGCGCTTACAGCAGCATCCCGCGTAAGCACTTGCCCTCGCATCGAACGGCCCGCTCTTTGCCTCCCCTACTTGCGCCTGTCCTCCTCCTCGGCCCCTTTCAAAGAAAAAAGCACCAGTACCACATTCCCTGGCTCTGCTCCCACCTCCTCTCTTCAGTGGAACCAACACATCCGTCCCGAGGCGTGAGTGCCACATATTTCGCCCTTCCTCTGCCCTCCTCTTTTCCTCCCTCTCTCTCTCTGCGCAAATCCAAAGTGCCATGTTGCCGGACACGCTGGCCTCGCTCTAACTTTGCGCGCCCTCATTCGAACATGGCAACCTCTTTCTCGTTTCATCGACTCCTCACGCATCAGCACATCTCCCCCCCCCCCCTCCCTCCTCACAGAGGTACGTGTGGTTTTTCCTTTCTTCCACCAAACACACGGAGACCCATACCCGTTCGATTGGTTGGTCTCCTTTTGACCACCGTCCTCCATGTGCGTCTGCCCCTGTTCTACAACTAACACCTTCCCTCCTCATGCTCCCCTCTCCGTTCCCCTCGCCTCTAGGACACGCCCTGACACATGGCGGCCGGTCGAAGATCAATAACGACTCTGGGGCAAGAGGCTATCCACGACGCCGCCGACGCAGAGGCAGCTGGCACCAAAACGCGCCAATGTCTTTACTATCGCCTCCAAAATGACCGCGTCTGCAGCGTTGGTGCGCAGCCTCCATTCGATCCCCCCCCCCCCCTTTACCTCCTCTCCCCATTGCGTCCCTCCCTCCTGCCCTCCTCGCCCCCCTCGTGTCAAGCACGCGCGCGCGCGCACACACATCCGCACACATCCGCACCCGACATCTCGTGTTGTGTGTTGCCGAAGTCCTGACCATGCCGCCCTTCCCCTCGACAAACAGACGAGCTAATCGGCGACCAGGGCTACCACCTGATCTCAAAGCTGATCGAGCAGGGACGCACGCCCTACATGGAGCGCTTGGTCCTCCATGGTATGCCTTCTTCTCTCCCCCCCCCTCCCCCGAGCCACAGCAACACATGCAGAGTCTGACACCCCCCCCCCTTTCAGCCGACCCGACCGTGACGCACGTCGGCTTTTTCGCCCTGACAAGGTCCCTGGTCTTCCGGTCTTCCCTCACATCTCTCAAGTTGGACGGTCTTTTCATGTTTGGATATTCCGGGGCTTTTCTCCTGTCGTGTGTTCTCCAGTGCAACACGCCGCTGGAAATTCTCGAACTCATTGGTACGGTCCCCCCACCCCCCCACCCCCCGCCTCCACCTCAGCCGTGCATTGTGCTCGCATTCTAACACCCTGCTTGTGACTTGACAGGCACCAACATCGGTGACTCTGGGCTGGCCATCCTCGGATGTGGGCTCAAACTGAACAAGCGCCTGAAGACCCTCCGGCTGGACAGTACGCTGCTGACGCATCTCCTCCGATGTCTCTTTTTTTTTTTTTTGCGGGAATTTGCACCCTCGGTGGTACTTGCTTTCCTGACTCGCCTCTCTCTCTCTCTCTCTCTCAACTTGGCAGACAACAACATCAGCCACGTGGGGATCTGCGCCCTATCCTCGGCGTTGGGCAACAACTCCACTCTCACGGACCTGTCGCTCAATCGCAACCACATCGGTCCGGCGGGGTTCTGCTATCTGACCGGCGCCCTGGCCTGCAACCAGTCCATCCTCCGGCTTTACCTGAACGACACCAATCCCCAGAAGCTTGGCATCATTGCCCTGGTCCAGCACCTGGACAATCCCTCGACCACGGTCCCCAGCCTGCTGCACTTGAACAACAACAACATTGGCGACCAGAACTTCGAGGTTTTCCCCATTGCTCTCTACACCAACCGCTCCTTGAAGGAGCTCTCCCTCCAGGGCAACAATCTGACCTCGGCCAGCATCGAGGTCCTGGCTGATGCCCTCATTTTCAACACCCATCTCAATGAGCTGATTCTCTGCAGCAACCTGATCGATGACCACGGGGCGGTGTGCTTGTCGGCGGCCCTGCTTCGAAACCGCCATCTGACCGAGATCGACCTGCTTTGTGCGTTGCCCCGTGTGACATCCTTCTCTCTGTGCTCCGGTTTATGATCCCCCCCGCCCCCCAAAGCTAATGTGCCCTCTCCTCTATGCACCATTCTCCTGGTCCCCCCTGCCACCCCCCGCCCCAGCCAACTTCATCACCGACGTCGGTGCGGTGGCCTTCTCCAAGTCGCTGCGCATCAACTCCACCCTGTCACACCTTCACCTGGATTACAACTCCGGCATCACCAACCGCGCGGCCGAGTCCTTCATCCACACACTCTCGCGGTATAACAGCTCGTTGATTGTCCTCAGTCACCACAAGACCGCCATCGAGCCGGATGTCTCGGCCCGCTTGAAGATGTTCATCAGCATCAACCTGCGCGACTTCGACGCCACAACCGACTGGGATTTGGTTTTGTCCAAGCCGATTGTCAGCTTCGCCGATACCTATGTTTCCACAGATGGCTTGCCATTCCTGGTGTCGGCTCTGTCGCTGAACACCACGGTCGTCACGTTGAACTTGTGCTGTGCGTGTCATGCCCAACATCCTCCCCTTCCTTGCCGGTTGTGCTCTTCCCTCCCTCTCTTTCGCTCTCTGGCTCCTCCCCCGCTTCACCCCGCCCCGGCTGCCTTGCCCCCTGCTCACGCTACC